TAACCGTGATATCCGAAAAGGGGTCGAAGGGTGTGCAAAGGGTGCAAAACAAACACACATGTGCGTGGGGGATCGATTCTGTGCATTCCAGCTGGCACAGCTGTAATCCACTCAATCTGCAGAATGCTCCGGAAGGTCGTCGGCTAGCAAAAAAGGCCGGTCGGCCACTTTAATCTGCCGGTCGACACAATAAATGGCCGGTCGGCACAATAAATTGCCGGTCGGCACAAACAGAGTGCCGATGGGTGGCCGGTAAGGTCAAAAAACTGCAGATTGGTGTCCAAATTGAAGCCCCGGAAGTTAGCTTTCCAATGGCGCAAACCTTGCATCAAAATTCCTCCTGTGCAAAAAGTTATGCCCTTTTCCGTGAAGCCGCGCAGATTCGATCCAACCGGGATGAAGCCCGACTTCAACTGATCATATCTCCCCCACCCGGACTTGGCTCTAGGAGATTCTTGAGTGCAAAATGAAGCCCCGGAAGTAAGCTTTCCGACGGTGGTGGCCCCATAGCTAAACTCCAAGTGTACAGACAGATAAGCCCGATTCAGCGAGGGCTGCTCGACTCGCTTCTTTCCGGATTCATGCCGAACTTCTCCCAAGCTAGTTTTCTCCTCTCCTTTCCTCTTTTCTTCAACTCCAAAACCCTAAACAAAGTGTTTTGAAAGATTTGCCTCTCTTCTAGCCGAAGAAACTGATTCTTTGCCCTGCACATCTCTCAACACTGAGCAAACTATCAGTAGTGCCCAAGTCTTAAGGGCGGTCAAAAATGGGGTGTCTACATCGTGCAAATCGATTCCTCGGCCATCATGCATCGAGATGCGTGATTGGTGGCATGAGGATCGAGGACTACACTTCCCGAAGAGTAGTCTTGCATACATGTGTAAAAATACATTGCCATGCCCCTTTCTTGCTCTCTGTTGCAGCAAATCAACAATTAGCAACCTTCCAGAGCTTGGCACGCATTCCAAGAATAAATTGCAAACAGAGGCTGATTGGGGCACTGCCGTGGAGTTCCGTACAAGGCAACCCGAGCATGCATCATTCATTATCCGGAGCGGAGTCAAGGCAGTCCCTAGCTTGCGTTAGATTAATTTGTTAATTAATTAGGATTTTGTAATTATTTGGACTGTATTATTTATTTGGGACTGTATATTATTTATTCGGACCCTCTGCGCGAGGGCAATGTTGTAATAAGTGTGCGTGTGTATGATGTATGTCTTCCAACCCCACGTCTTTCTCCCTTTTATACCAGCTTATGATGGTATTCCAAGAGCAATTGTTCCAGACAATGGAACTCAATTTGATAGTAAGCTAATCAAGAACTTTTGTACAAAGTTCAAGATCAAGAACTACTTTTCAACCCCAAGCTTTCCACAAAGCAATGGACAAGCAGAAGTATCCAACAAAGTAATTCTGGATGGGATAAAGAAGAGGCTGCAGGCAGCGTGACTAGAAGGACCATTGAGGCCAGCCCAGATCGGATCAAGGCCATCCTAGAGTTGAAGAGCCCGACGTCGGCAAAACAATTCAATATAGAATGAATGCACGTATAAACACAACAAGACCTAACTCCATCATGGGTAATCTAACGGGTAGCACCATCAAACCACTTTCAAAAATAAACATGAAATGTTTTGTTCCAATTCAGACGATCCAGTCTATACTTGTATGCTGTGCGCATCACATAGTAAATCTAGGCTAATAACCGGAATAAGAACGCATAATTTTTTCAAAAATAGATATCATGGTTAGTAGAGGCCGATCTTTGATTGGGCGAGCAGGGGTACTCACGAATTGACCTTCTCCAATCGTACCCAAGTTCCCGAGCCGATACAACTTTGGTGATGATGGACACGTGGCCTTAGGCAAACGAGTCAGGGTTTCTTAAATTTCCCCAAAATAAAATATTTAGGTGGCGACTCTGTATCTGGCAAAGCAGTCCATGTTTGGCACTTCTTTCAAAATCTGTTTTCTCAAAACGATTTGTCAGATTTGGACTCTTTGGTTCAGATTTAGAACCGTGACAAATTGAGAGTTCGAACTGTAGTGAGCCCAATATCGAACGAAACGGGGGACTCGTTCCTCCCGGGGCGTTCGGGGACGTCTACAATTACCAATATGTCATACTTTTGGGACTTATTATCTATTAACTCTTATTGATAAATTTATCAATCTTGTAGTTAAATAAGTCTATTTAATAGGACTGTTGGTAAGTGACCAAAAAAATTATTAATTAACTATACTAGTTCAAATAATTATTTGATTAAATTATTAATTTAAAATGTTAAACTACTTTAATGTTAATATTAATTAAATTTGTTATTATTTGTAATAACTATTGATAATTAAATAATAAATTATTAGCAACATAATAGTAATTATTTTTTAATATAATTATTATTTATTGATTAAAATCATAAAACTCCATAAATCATTTTTGCATTTACAATATTAATTAAACTTTAATAAAGATAAAAATACAAAGATAAAAATACAAACATAAATAATAAAACTTAAAAAAAAACTTTAATAAAGATAAAAATACAAACATAAATAATAAAACTTAAAAAAATGTATAAACAAATTTTTATTACAAAATTTTGTCCCAAATGCAAATTTCTTCCGGCAAACACCCCAAAATTCTACCTAAATCAAAATTCCATCCTAAAATTTAGGAGCCCCCTAAAATAGAGCAAAAACTAGCTGGAGGGAGACACAGAGATGCGTGAGAGATAGAGAGAGAGAGAGGGAGAAAGAGCGAAGACGAAGAAGAGAACATGAAGAGAAAACGGAGGGAAGAGTAGCCCTTCGGAGCGACAGCCATTTCTTCGCTCGAGCAGTTCTTCGGAGTTACCTCCTTCGCAGCTTCGTTCGTCTTCGCTTCTCCGCCCGGTCGATGAAGACCCACGAACGAAGCAAACGGAGCCGTCTCTCGTACCTCTCCCTCGCACCGCCCAATTTCAGGTACATGTTCAGATATTAGGGTTTTGAGTTATGATTCGAGGCTTTTCAATTTCAAAATTAGGGTTTAGCGTTTTTCAATTTCAAAATTAGGGTTTAGGGTTTTTCAATTTCAAAATTTGGGGATTTTCAATTTGGGGTTTAGTGTTTAACTTGGATGCTTGATCTGAATGTTTAAATGGGACTTAATAACATCAATTTACTAGGACTTTTTTTTTTAGATAAATAACTATAATAAAAATTATTTACTAAGACTCTTATAAAAAAAATGTTGAAAATCATACTCCTAATGTCAACTCTGGTTTTATGTTTTTGACTAAACTGTGTGGCCTAAACATGAAAATTTACAACCAAAAAGCATATTCTGTGTGGCCTAAACATGAAAATGTTGATTATTATTATTTTTTAAAATTTCTTTGTAGATAACTAAGAGTAGTTGTGAACCACTTTGATTTTGGTATTCCTTTACTTTTACTTTTACGTGTTTCAATCATTAACTTTGTGACCTCTTTGTAGAAGGTTTGTTTATGTAGTGTTGATTAAAAAAAATTTCTTGGGTTTCTTTATGGATAAGTAAAAGAGGAGTGCAGAGAAGTTGGGCAGAATTATTTGTATTTCTTTATGATTTTGATTTCATTTATTTGAAAATGAAATGGGTTGAAATTGTTTGATTTATGTGAAATAGGTTACTATGAGATGAGATAGGTCTTTTTCTATGAAATGGTTGACTTCTATGAAATTGTTTGATTTATGTTTTTATAATTTCTTATACTTTGTTGGGTTTGATTTTTGAATATTGCAAACACATTAAGATGGAAGTATTAATGGTGCATATTTAACTTACCCCAATTTTAAATTGAATGTGTAAATTGCAAGGGTTGTGAGCAAAGGTGTAATGTGGCAACTTGTTTCTTGAGTTTATTAAACAAATAAACCAATTTGTAAGTGTGTTTGTTGTTTTCTTTTTCCTTTTTGGAAAAAAAAAAACTACTGTTTTGTTTGATTGTTTATTGAGTTCAACAAGGCAATGGTGGCAGTGAATTCTATGGATGTCTCTAACAATTATCCTAGATCAGTAAGGCATTGCAGGAATTTATTTTGGTGGCAGGGAATTCTATTTTGATCATAGATTGTAAATTTGTTTATAAAATCTATTTTGTGGCAGTGAATTATATTTTTTAGTTCAAGTCTGATTGTAAAATTTGTTTTGATCTTAGAAATTCAGTCACTTACTCTCCCTCTCTCTTCATTTTGGTTTTGCTCGCCATCTTGACTCACACTCTTCATCTCTCTCCATTTCGGTTCCTTCCTCATGCTCTCTGATGGTTTCTTTCACCCTCACCAGTCACCATTTTCTCTGGTATCTCTCTCTCTCTCTCTCTCTCCCTCTCTCTCTCTCTCAGGCGATTTCTTCATACCGTTCTATCTACACCCACACTACCATTGTATCGCTTTGTTTGGAAATTTCCCCGGAATCCATAGTTGCTTCCGCCAATTTCTACACCAACCCTTGTCTCGATCTCTACCCAGCACCGGTTAATTCAATTTCTCTCTCTAACTCCCTCTCCTTTTCCCGATTTCTAAACCCTAGCTATGTTTATGTTTTCTACAATAGTTACCATCAAATCTCGTTTTTTGTAGTAAAAAATTTTGTATTTTGGTGCTATTGTTTCCAACTCTATAAATTCAAACCTATACCCTAATCTCTAGTTCTCTCTATAGATATTTGTAGATCTATTTATATGATTGTCCATTTTTGAAGTTCTAATTTTTACGTTTTTGTTATTGTTTGTAGCCCTAAGTTATTTAATACAGTGGATCATGTCATTCTTCCTAATGGCAATGGCCTAAAGGTTAGTTATTTCTATAGTCCTATCACCCAAGTTTGATTGTTGTATGCTTGTGTAATTGAATAATATTACAATTATGTTTTTGTCATTATCGATTTTATCTTATATTATTTGTGGGATTTTGTAGTGTCGTTTTCATATTTTGTCTCGTATTGGTTTTTGTAATATCACGTGTCTATATGAGATGCTTATTAGGTTATTTGTTCTAGTAATTTTCGGTTCTCTTTGAAGATTAGATTTTATAATTTTGTAAACTCGTGTTAAATAATATTTGAATTTGTTCTAAAAGGAAGTTGCTAGGAGTAAAAAAAGGATATCAAAGCATTCCTTGTGGGAACTATGATGATTTAAATGAAAGCTTTTGGTATTACTCTTTTTTTGGAGATCATTTTGTCCCTGATTTTATATCAAGTTAGCGTTGCCGTTATAAAATTACAAGTGACTAATGTACCGGCAATCAATGTCATTGCTAAGTCTGTAATGGTGTTAGGCCGGTTTTCTTTTGTTTGTGATGAGCAAATATATCCCCTCAGGACTAGACTATTTGTTGAGAAATATTTATCAATTAATTCCATTTCTATTCATGTTTTTTGAGAAATTCTTCACTTCATGCTCTTCTTGGTTTACAATAAAATTGAATTCTTCCATTGACTTAAAATGCATGTATGGCTTGACACGGTGGATTCAATAAAATTGAATTCTTCTTGGTTTATTTTTGTCTCACTTAATGTAAATTTTATTTTTATTCTTTTGATTTGGTGACTTTTTACTTGCTGGTTTTGTTATTCTCTTTCAAGGTTTGAGTGGACCAGTGTGAAACTTTTGCTTCGTGCTTTATATATATTTGCTACAAAACTTGGTTTTACAATGGAAATACAGCTCCTAGGGACTAGTTTTCAATAAGCTGTTCAAACAAAATTTTAAGAGTTCATACTTTGGTCGAGCATCATTATCCATTCATGGCAAACACAGATTTTTTTTTCGTGATTTGCGAAAATTAGGTAAATGTCAATTAGCTTACATACAAGAGATGGGCTTTCATCAAGCAATAAATGTGCTAAAGTAATAGGGTGAATTAAGGAAATCTAGAAATATATATATATTATCATCATCTAAAACCTAGCCATATGACAATCATCATCTAATATTGTATCAAAAAATTCACGAGGAAGCAATCACTCAAGTTCAACATCATAGCATCATAGGTTGAATTTCACAAATAACTAACACAAAAATTCAACATAATCACTCAAAGAACAAAAAGGACACAATTTTAACATCTCATGTTTGTTCAGTCAGTCTATTATATTTTATATATAAAATAATGTAACTGGGTGACTGTATTGGGTTTAGAAAATCAAGGAAATGCACTAACTTAAACTGAATGCCAAGGGGAATAAGCATGATATCAAGTCCTTAATTGAATCCACTCAATGCCTAGCAGAGGAACTATCACTATTGGAATCTGCGAGTGGAGTATCAAATTCAATTAATAAATGTATTTCACAATCAACCATTAAAAGGAGTAATTTTCTTAAACGGAGCATTTTAGTCTTTTCAATTTGTTCTGTTTTGTTTCCTATTCAAATAGAGCAGCTCAATAAAAATTTCAAGTTGAGGCTCCAATTAAATAACTCAACCAAACAATTTACTAGTTCAGGAAATTATGACCAGAATAATACAATTCAAAAGAGATCAGAGCAGAATATAGACAAGTAAACCCATTAACATGACTTCTGACAATTTGAGCTACTTTACAATAGAAATCAACTCATTAAACACTAAAGTGAGACTTGGGGGTGAAAGTGTTATCCACTCATATGCTTACACCCTGTCAAAGTTGATGGGAGATATTTGAGGATTGACATTGAAACTTGACCGAAACTATGTAAATGTTTGATTGTCACAATTGAAACTAAAAACAAGGTGAAACTTAGGTCAAAGAAAAGGGGTACAAAGTGCATGAAATTGTATTCCATAGAAGGTAAGGCCTACTCTAAGTTGTAGCTTTACAATGACATGGCATATAAAAGGCCCTTGGTTATTATTATTAGTAAGATAGATTCCTAGAGTATCTTGTCGTTTTTTCTATTAGTAAGGTTGTCAAAAGGTATCGACCAAGCCCAAACTTGAGTTTGATTGTAGGGGCACACATTAGCATGCCAACAACATATAAAGGCTTTTGTTGCTTGCTTAAAAAACTATAAACCAAAAACTTTAAAAAAAAAAACATATATTTCAACTCATTAAACACATGGTCTAGAACATATGCATATATGTATGTGTGTGTGTGCACATAGTGTGCAATTCATAAGTAAACTAGCATTTTGATACACAAAAGAAAATAAATAAACAAGAGAAAAAGGACAAAATGAATTAAAAATCATTGAGCAAATATAATCTAAACCAGATACGCAAACACACAAAAATGTAATCATTTAGCTCTTCAAGTAATACATTTACTTTCATCATATATTGTAAAATTGCATATAAATCCAATCCAAGATTACTTTGAGCTACAAATTTTCTATAGATTGAATATAAACAGATAATTTATTATTTTTTAAATATATATTCCACAATCATTGCCATTGGATCCGCAATTACGTTAAAGTCCCCATGTTTTGAAAAATAGGTTTTAAGTTTTAACTAGGGCTAAAAAAAGAGACCATAACCTCTTCCAATTCCTACAATAGAAAGCAGACTTCAAATGGGGAATGACCATATTATATGAACAAAAACTAAAAAAACCCATATAATTCAACTTATTAAACGCATAGTCTAGAACATATGCATATATGTATGTGTGTTTGTACATAGTGTGCAATTCATATGTAAACTAGCATTTGATATGCAAAAGAAAATAAATAAACAAGAGAAAATGGACAAAATGAATTAAAAATCATTGAGCAAATATAATCTAAACCAGATACGCAAACACACACAAATGTAATCATTTAGCTCTTCAAGTAATACATTTACTTTCATCATATATTGTAAAACTGCATATAAATCCAATCCAAGATTACTTTGAGCTACAAATTTTCTATAGATTGAATATAAACAGATAATTTATTATTTTTTAAATATATATTCCACAATCATTGCCATTGGATCCGCAATTACGTTAAAGTCCCCATGTTTTGAAAAATAGGTTTTAAGTTTTAACTAGGGCTAAAAAAAGAGACCATAGCCTCTTCCAATTCCTAGAATAGAAAGCAAACTTCAAATGGGGAATGACCATATTATATGAACCCAACTGTCTTTGTATTTTCGTTGGCAAAAAAAAAAAATTGTCTTCGTATTTTTCGGTCATTTTTGGTTTTAGACCAAGAAATAAACAAAACACTATCAGCATTACGAATTGCAGAGCTATTTTCGTTGATAAGGTTTTAAAAAGGGCACTGTTGGAAAATAAAACGAGTAATGCTATGTAAATATAAAATTCATACATAAAATTGAACGATATGATTGCTCAAGCGTATTGTTTTGACATTGCTTTTGTGACATTCTGTATAGTAATTATGCTTGTAAATCATTTTTCATATTAAAAAAAATGCAATTAATACATGCAAGAGCGGGAGAGAGAAAGACAAACAGAGAGAGAGAGAGAGGAGCTGTTTAGTCAAGACAGCAATTGGTTGAGAAGGTTTCAACTTTTTTTCATTAAATTATTCAATGGCTCAGATTAGTTTGTGGAGATTCAATGGTTAAGATATAAGGTGCACATGGCAACAGGACTCGAAAATCAAAAGTAACAAACTAGTGAAAAAAATATTCTTTATTTTTTGCAAGAAACATCTATGTATATTTTGCAAGAAATTGAAAAGCAACCTACCATGTTGCTATGGGTTGTACACAAAATTTAACAATCTTACATTTTCCAACATTATCATTTATCATGCTAAACAACAAGGGAAAAAAAGATTTCAAAATTTTCCTTTCTCACACTTTCCACTACTTCAATCCTAAAGTTCGACACTAATCTTTCATAGTTACTAGGAAATCCATGCTTAGAGGAAGACACTAATTCATGTATTATCTTAGCATCAATACACTTTGAAAAAAGTATGCGGAGGAAATTCATTTTATTAAACATAAGCTTCATGTTGATTGCATTTTAGCTAAAATTAAAATTATATACTTCAATTCTTTTTAGCTTTTCACACTTTTTTGTTGGTTGGAGTCTCTTCCCTATTATCTTGTCAACTGCTTATGCGTAAACAAGGATACAAGTGAAGTTCAAGCACTATTTGATTAGCATTTTTAGAAGTATTTCTATTGTATGTGAACTGCGTTCGCTTATATATATATGTTTTTAAAAACCAATCAAACAAATGATTTACTTGAGATGGCTATTTACTTCAACTAGAACAAGAAGTACTAAACATTACCAAAAATACTTACAAATTGGGAGGTCCCAACCACAAGTTATTGTTGCTTCATGAGAATATCACTAAATATATTTTGGGATAAATCTTCGGATAACATGTTAAGTCAATCACAAGTTTTTATAGTTCCAAAATACTTTCATTTAAGTCGCCAACGAACTAGGCATTTTTGCAAACATCTTAAATGCAATTAAAATTCAAATAACATAATTAGCCCCATAATTTTAATGCCAAAATTTCTCATGAAATATTTTGCAACAACTCAAGAACAAGTCATGGAAGCAACAATATGGTTACAAAATACTACATTGATTAATGTAAAAATGGATTATTTCATTACGAATGTCAACTGAGATATATAAATAGCAAAGTAGAATAAAATCCTTATGAAGCCTTGCTTCAGTACAAATTTTGAATTAGTGTGAGCCAAGAGAGACTGGAATAGAAATTCAAATAGAACACTAGAGACAGAAAATAGGGTAAAAATTAGAGAGTATAGTTTTAGAAGAGGGCGGATTTCAGAAATATCCAAAAAAATGGGGAAGAAGAGAGTTTTAGAAGAGGGTTTAGGGTTTCAAAAATAATTAAAGGGAGGCATACCTTGTTGATTGCTCTTCAAAAAAAAAAAAAACAGAGGCTCACTGGGTTAGATTAGGGTTTTAAACCGAACAACCACTTACAACCTGTAGCAAGTTGAGCCAAACGAAGAGAGACGAATGAGCGCAGTAGAGACAGAAGAAAGCGAGAGCAGCAGGGGAAGAGATCAATCCAAGGAGGGACTTTTTCAGTAGAGGGAGAGGGAGAGACGAAAGCAAAGAGAGAGAACACTGTGGAAGAAGAAGAAGAAGAAGAAGAAAAAGAAGAGAGAATACGTTAATACTTTTGGAGATGGTGGTCAACCGGTTGCTCCGGTGTCCAATTTTTCAAAATTAAAGAATTCAATGGTCAGGATGTATTTGTGTAATCCAATGGCCAATAATAAAGTTGCATATGGTGTGCAACCCTTAAGGGGTTGCACACTGTAACCGGACCCTTTCAAAAAATATATATCTATACTACTATTATATAAGAGGGGGTTGTCGCCTTGTATAGTAACAATGGCTCTTTTTTTTTTTCTTTCTGTTTTGACCTTCAACTTTATTGATTTTAGCTTTTGTTTTATTGAAGAGTTTTGGGTTAATTGGTAAATTCATAGATTACTCGTTTGTTTTATTGACCTTCACCTTTATTGAGTTTTGCTTTCTCTTTCTCTCAGTCCTTTACATGTCTTTATCTTTCTCTCTCGACCATTGTAGTGAGATCACATTCCGGATGACGATCAATGGCTCACGATGATGATCTAAAAACCATTGGAGATAGGTTAAAGTAGACGATCTTGATGGCGATCAGTTTGCGATTTGTACGACAATCTCAAAGCTGTGTTTGACCAGATCTATGGGTTCAACTACGCATGATTCAACCAATTTCAATTGAGGTATCAAATAGACTCTCTGTTTTCAAGCCATTGTTCCTACATTGAAGGCAATCATCTTCAACCGAAGCTCTTAACAACCTGTTTTGTTCAATTATCTATGTGTTTTATTTTATTTATTTATTTCTGTTTTTAAAAACATAACTACATTTTTTGGTTTCCTTCTGATTTCCAGGGTCAATCTTTGAAGCTGAAACACAACTAGAATAGCTAACAATCTTCTTATTTAAAAGGTAAATAAATATTATTATTGATTTTTCATTCTTTCTGGAGCTTTCTTTCTTGTTCTTACTTTTGTTAGTATCATTTTTCTCTGCTTTTATTGCTTTGGTTTGTTATTCATTGTTCTATTTTATTTATTTATTTTTTTTTCAAGGGAAGTAAACCGAAGTCTTAGATTTTGCTTTCTTTTGACTACAGATTTGTTTTCCATATATATATATATATATATATCTTGGTTTCATGTTTCTTAGCTTCAATGTTATACAATGACTGTAGATAGAAGATATGAAAGTTAAGGAGTTTCACTCTTTGCTACTGTTTATCAAGGCCACTTTAATCTTTTAAGTGGGTGTTTGGGAAGTTGCTATTTTAGTAGGCTATTTTAGTTTTTGGCTATTTTAGTAGGCTAAAATTTTTGTATTTGGGAAGATGATTGTATTTTTTGGTAGTTGAATGTGATGTTTGTGAGAGAAAAAGTAAAATGATTATGGGTTTGATGTAACATTTTGTCTTATTGGCTATTTTAGCCTATTTTATCCTTTTGTGAATTTTAGCCTAAAAGGCTAAAATTTCACTTCCCAAACAAGGCCTAAGTGAACTTTGCAAATTAGGTATTTATGAAGCTGACCACGCAATTCAAGTAGTTTCTAAACATTTAATGGGTACTCTTTATTTCTTATTATTGCAATTTCTTTGTTTGTGTATTTTTAGAAAATGTTTTATTTTTTTTATACGAGTATTGATGGTTGCTTTCTAATCTTTTTGATTTTTGAATGTTTAGGATTGCATTAACTTGGTGATTCAATTTGTCATATTTGTGGGCTAACTTTTTGTTGGATTTTGAGGGATAGATTTACAATGTTTTTGTGCTTGTCATTTTGAATGGATACTAATTTCTCATTATGAAATTTTTTGTTGTAATGATTGAGGTGCTTGGTTTCTCCCTCATTGTTATGGTCAAAAGGGCAATTCTAACTATGCTTACTTTTAAACATTAGCTTGATTCATTTTGATATTACATTTAAATCTAGGTTCAAGATAGAATCTTTTTATTTTTTTCCCCATTATATCTTTTAGGAGGTGTTGCAGTCAAACACCTTGTATCAACATAGCTTTTCCATAGCTGCTTGAAGTTCAATAACTTTATTTAATTGTTCTTTTACTGAAAGTTAGAACATATGTTAGTTTGCAGCTTGTAGATACCTAAAAACAAAAATATCCCTTCTTGAGTAGAAGGATAATGAGATTCCTCATTACTCAGTCACTTGCAATTATTAACTGTTACTATTTTTTTTGAGTCATAGTTTGTGTGTTCAACGTTTGATAAAAGTTATCTTTAGAAATTATCTTATTTTTTTATTTGTGTCTTGCCCTTTTTCATCGTGTTTTGCTGCATATTTTCAACAATATAAGATACATTTAATGGCCATCTGATTGAATTTAATCATATGCAGATGTGCACATACTTATGCGTGGACAAAACTGCTTTTGTCCATGCGTTTTATTGCAAATTATGCACTACTGTTGTATGATCTTTCTGGTCCACACTCTGAATCTTCGAAGCTGAACTTTTTGATATTTGTACTTTTGAAATGCTTAATGTATGCTAGATTGGGCTCTTCTTCCTATCTACCTACATTAATACTCGATACTTTTTCATCAAAAATTGCAGAGACCATGGACTTTGGTTATCCCCAAAATATTACTCCAAATATCCTTAAGTTTTACATCACTCATGAAGTACACTTGCCATTCTTGTCAAAAGGTTAGATGCTTGCTTTATATTTCTATTTTAGCACCATTCTCCATAATTGGACCAATGCTAATACTTTTTTTTTTGTTTTTTTGGTAAGACCAATGTTGAAGGTTTGTTCTACGGGTGAAAAATGAGATGTCTTAACTTGTTTTTTTGTAAGACCAATGTTAAATGTCTATTCTACCGTGGTTAGATGATTAAATTCATAGTTCAAGTCACTATTTTGTTTAAATTTAACATAATTATTATAGTTTCCTTTTAGTATTTTAAGTAGAAGAGTTCAAGTAAGATTCTCTTCTGTAGGGATAAGGAACACAGTTTCCTTTTCAAACCTTCTAGGTAGAAATTGGTGTTTTTCCTGCCAAGAAAAATAAATAATAAAATTCATTGTCCACTTACCTTTTCTTATTTTCACTTGATATTCAGTTTTGCTAGTACTTTTTACATAATGTTCTTTATGTGTGCATATATTGTGTTCTTTTGGCATCTTTGGGTATGAAGTTCAGATCCATGAGGCTTTGTAAATGAGTTTTGATTTTCTTTAAAGTTACATGTTTTAGTTATGGCTCAAACTACAAATTTTATTTATCTATGTGAGGAAAAAGTGTTTTCAAAGTGCATAGATATGTGATTTTTCTTTTTCTTATTCATGTATCTTTTTTTTCTCAATCAATATTTTACAATTTTTGTGGTTATTCTTTTTCTTGTTCATGTGCATAGATCTGGGGTTGATGGAATTATCCATTGAGCATAATATTTATATACATGCATGGGGTAGTTTAGAGCCACCATAGATTGTTTTGTTGGTTTATATATTTTCATTTTATTTGTAATGTGCTTTGTTATAAGGACTCTACCATGCCCATTCTTTTCAAACCTGACATGTTTCAATTTATAGCTTTGACAGGGGTTTCTCATACATATTATTTTATACACTTCCCAAAAAAAAATATTTTTCTTAAAATTTCTCTTCCTATTAGCTCTTCAATTTCAAGTACTCCTTTTATTTGTCTATCCACATGTTGGTTAATAATAACAAATAATATATATTATTTATTCAATCTCACCAGTGTATTTACATTTTTATTCTTCACATATGTTATAAGACCCATTATTAAACCCATGGTCATGGGTTTGAGGACCGTCCTCTGCTTTGAATAATTTTTACAAAAACTCTAAAAATATGGGACATGTTTGTGTAAACACCACCAGCAACCTTCACTTTATAGTAGTATAGATAGATTGATAGATTATACATGTTCCTTTGGTTGGTTTTGTGATTATTGTTTTAGCGATGCTATCTGACACATTTGTACCTATATTGTTGGAATTAGAAGCAACCTTCTAAAATGCTTATCCATGCATTTTTGCAGATCAATAATGTTGCAACTTTGTCATTTCTTTTGCATGAGATAATAGCAACTGAAGTTGATTTGTTCGCACCATATGTGCACTTGGATTTTAGAGTCATTTTAGTATTGAGCACTATGTATGTGGTTTTCTTTTCTTTTTTCTTACAAATTTTCTGAATTTTGCCTTTTTCCTTGATAGTTAATTTTTTTATTTTTATTTTTATTTTTTTGGGTTGATGACTTGTATCTCAATGTTAAGGGACAAACCTTTTGGTTGTAAACTATAATAGAATAACCAATAAGAAGGATTTGCCACTTAATGAGGTACATTTGATTTGATTTAGGTAAGAGTGGCCTTTTGGATTAAGATTAATTTGGAGATCATGAACTAAAATCTTGTTTTGTGTTGCTGCTCTGTTTTAGGGGTGTAATTGAGAAGCTGTGCTTATTTTTTTAAATCATTTATTTATTTTGTTTTGTTTTATGCTATTAGACTTTAGTGCTCCGCATATTTTGGTTTTTGTGCGCAGTTCAAGGGGAACAGCTTGCTAATAAAAAAAGGTTTTCTCATGCATAGAGAAACAAATGGTCACTTGATTGAAGAGTTTGTTGCTGATGATGTTGTTGCTTTTAGGTTTATCAGTTTGAGGAATGTTAAGATGTATATTTAATTTTAGACTGGGGTTGATTTTGTTTTCTCGTAATGTTTATGCGGTTTGTCAATATGTGTCTTGGCCAATCATGTTTTCTTGCTTTTGGGTTGAATGTTTAATACTTGTGTTCTTTGCACCTTAGTTTTGTAAAATGTTATTATTACCTTATTGCTGGGGGAGAAAAAAATCATAATAATGAACTACTTACAATTGCCATGGGCACAGGTCATTGTGCAACGCACAACGCCCCATAACTAGTGTATACATATGTATAGCAGACCTATGAGTTGTACTTTTTTTTGAGTAGCCTATGAGCTATACCTCACCATCGTAGATGATCTCTGTAAATCTCCTCCCACACCTTTCTCCCTCGTACGTCTCACCCACCCTCACTCTCTTTCCACTGCAAACCCCGCCCCCACCATCTCTCCGACAACCCACTGCCCCCATTATCCCCCATTGTCACGATCCTTACACTACAGCACCCTCAATACTTTAGCGACCTCACCTCCGACTGTCGAAGTTGGTGGTTAGGGTTATGTTGTGATTTCCACATTGCAAGCCCCTCACACTTCGGCTCCAAGAGAGGAGAGTGGGACTCAGAGAGAGAGAGGGAGGGGTCAATGGGGAGGGTAGCTACGGAGTGACTACCTATTTGGTTGCTGGACTTTAAAATGGCCAGAGAAAATGCTAGCCGAAGCTGTTGGGTTGGGGTTAAGGGTAAAATTGTTTTTTAAAAAAAGCACTTTAATTCATTTTGGGTCACATCACCTCTCACATTTTTACACTTTTTTTTATAAAAAAAAGTCAAAAAAAATAAAAAAAGTCAAAAAAAATAAAAAATCAACTTTTAACTATCTTCTCAAAACACCTCTAAAGGTCACAAGTGTGGACTCTACGCCGATGTGGGATATGTGGTTAGATATCCCTAACACTATCCAAAGTAAAAAATGTAACCATCCTCAAAATAACACGTGTTAGGGTAAATGTGCTATGTTGTGTCTATGTAGGGTAATATATACTAGTATATACATGTAAGCTTGTCCCATCATTTCTTGTCTCTCGCTCTAGTCTTTTCATCACTCTCTTTCAATTGTAATGGCTAAGAGAGCTTTTCTCGTTGCTGTCGTATTTTCCATCATTAAGCACCATTTTGGAAGAGCTTTGAATGTTGCAAAAAGCTTAGGGTATGATTATTTTTCATTTCCTTTCGATTTACGTGAATTTTTTGACCTTTTTTTTTGTCTTTGTTTTTGATTTTTTATATGAAGAATGCGATTGTTTCGATAGACAGAAGATGAAGATGAAGTTAAAAAAAATTATGTATGGAGAGCAATATGAGTTTCTTCATAAGAACTTTGAAAAAGGATGAGCTGAAACTTGATGAGGAGAAGGATGAGGAGACTGATGGGAAGAAAAAGGAGGACGAGCTTGTTGTTAAGGAGAAATATGAGAAAAGGAAGAACGATGAAGAGGAGCTTGATGAAAAGAAGATGGTTGAGGAGGGGGAGATGGATGAAGAGAAGCTTGTTGAAAAGAAGAAGAAAGATGAGTTCTATTTGTCTTGAATGGAATCTCTCTCAAAGGTTATGATTATTCAGGGCATTGGGGACATGACTTTGAAGAGTTTAGCCACCCTCCTTTCTGTTGTAGGGAAGTTTCCTAAAGAGTCATCGGTAGAAGTCATTAATGACTGGCATAAGTGCCAAGGAATAGATGAGAGTTGTTACGTTAATTTTGTCATATATTAATGTCATGGACAAGAAGATTGATAGAAAGTTTGACAACCTAACTGAAAAAATAGATGTAATAGATGGGAAGTTCGACAACTTCACTAAAAAAATAGATGTCATGGATGGCATCCATTTTTTCAGTGATGTAAATTTTTCCCTAACATCTATTTTTTTAGTTAGGTTGTCAAACTTTCCATCAATCTTCTTGTCGCTGATTTTAGTATATGATAGAATTCTTGTAATTGCCTTCATCTGTTTCTTGGCATCTATGCTAGTCATGGATTTAATGACCTCTACCGATACCCTCTTTAAGAGACTTTTCTGCAGCAGAGAGGGTGACTAGACTCTTCAAAATTATGTCCCCAATGCCTTGAATAATCATAACCTTTGAGAGGGATTTCATTGAAGACAAATAGAATTCATCTTTGTTCTTCTTTTCAAGAAGCTCCTCTTCATCCATCTCCTTCTCCTCAACCATCTTGTTTTCATAAAGCTCCTCTTCATTGTTCTTCCTGTTCCCATATTTCTCCTTAACAAGAAGCTCCTCCTCCTTTTTCTTCCCATCAGTTTCCTTCTCATCCTTCTCCTCATAAAGTTTCAGCTCATCATTTTTCAATGTTTTTATGAAGAAACTCATATTGCTCTCCATACATAATTTTTTTTAACTTCATCTTCATCTTCTGCCTATCTAAACAATCGCATTCTTCATATAAAAAAAAAAAGGTCAAAAAATTCACGTAAATCGAAAGGAAATGAAAAATGATCATACCCCTAAGCTTTTTGCAGCATTCGAAGCTCTTTTAAAATGGTGCTTGATGATGGAAAAAACAACAACAACGAGAGAAGCTCTTTTAGCCATTACAACTGAGAGTGTATGATGAAAAGACTAGAGCGAGAGACAAGAAATGATGGGACAAGCTTTATATGTATAGACTAGTATATATTACCCTACATAGACACAACATAGCACTTTTACCCCTAACACGTGTTATTTTGAGCATGGTTACATTTTTTACTTTGGATACTGTTAGGGATATCTGACCACATATCCCACATGGTGTATAGTCCACACTTGTGACCTTTAGAGGTGTTTTGAGGAGATAGTTAAAAGTTTATTTTTTTTAAAAAAATGTGAGGTAATGTGACCCAAAATGAATTGAAGTGTTTTTTTTTTTAATAACAATTTTACCCTTGACCCCAACCGAACAACTTCGGCCGGCATTTTCTCCGGCCATTTTAAAGTCTGCGACCAAATAGGCAGCCACTCCCTAGCTACCCTCCCTGTTGACCCCTCTCTCACTCTCCTCTCTTGGGGCCGAAGTGTGACGGGCTTGCGAGGTGGAAATCACAACCTAACCCTAACCAACAGCTTCGACAGTCGGAGGTGAGGTCGCTGAAGTATTGAGGGTGCTGCGGTGTAAGGATCGCGACGGTGGGTCACCGGAGAGTGATGGTGGGGTTTGCAGTGGAAAGAGAGTGAGGGTGGTGAGATGTACGGGAGGGGAAAGGTGTGGGAGGAGATTTGCAGAGATCATCTGCAATGGTGAGGTATAGCTCATAGGCTACTCCAAAAAAGGTACAATTCATAGGTCTGCTACATATGTATACACTAGTTATGGCCCATGGCAATTGTAAGTAGTTCATTATTATGATTTTTTTCTCTCGGCAATAAGGTAATAATAGCATTTTACAAAACTAAGGTGAGAAGAGCACTTGTATTAAACATTCAATCCAAAAGAAAGAAAACATGATTGGCCAAGACACAAATTGACAAACCACAAACATTACAAGAAAACAAAATAGACCCCAGCCTAAAATTAAATCTACATCTTAACATTCTGATAAACCTGAAAGTAGCAACAAACCTTCAGTCAAGTGACCATTTGTTTCTCTATGCATGAGAAAACTTTTTTTTATTAGCAAGCTGTTCTACTTGAAGTGTGCACAAAAATCAAAATATGCGGAGCACTAAAGTCCAATAGCATAAAACAAAATAAATAAACGATGAAAAAAAATAAGCACAGCTTCTTAGTTACACCCCTAAAACAGAACAACAACACAAAACAAGATTGTAGGGAAGTTTCCTAAAGAGGCATCGGTAGAAGTCATTAAATTCGTGACTGGCATGAGTGCCAAGGAATAGATGAGAGTTGTTACAATAATTCTGTCATATACTAAATTTATGGACAAGAAGATTGATAGAAAGTTTGACAACTTCACTTAAAAAATAGATGTCATGGATGGCATCCATTTTTTGTGTTGTGTACTTTTCCCTAACATCTATTTTTTTAGTCAGATTGTCGAACTTTCCATTCATGTCATTTATCTTTTTGTTCATGAATTTAGTATCTGATAGAATTCTTGTAACTGCCCTCATTTGTTGCTTGGCATCTATGCCAGTCATGGATTTAATGACCTTTACCGATGCCTTTTTAAGAGACTTTCCTGCAATAGAAAGGAGGGTGGCTAGACTCTTCAAAGTCATGTCTCCAATGCCTTGAATAATCATAACGTTCGAGAGATGGAACGGACAATAGGACACCTTAGTGATCTATGCGTGAGTTGCTACCATGGATCTACGGGAGGGAGAATTTTTCTGTAACAAAAAAAAAGAAAAAAATATGGAAAGCTTGGCAACTTGAGTAAAAAAATGGATGCTATAGACTGAAAGCTTAACAACCTTAGTGGGAAGCTTGATGCAAGCAACACCATGGCACTCCATCATTAGCTATCATTCTGCTGTTGCCACCACTATCGGAAATGGTGGTTTATCGGACTCTGAAAATGGTAGAAATGGTGGTTTTACAAAGACTCTGAAAATGGTAGAAATGGTGGTTTTACAAACGGCGGTGGAGATTTGGGTGAGTGAATCATTATCTTTGATTTGAAACAGTATCAGTATATTTTAAGTTTTCAATAAAAAATTCTCATTGACGAATTGTCAGCTTAATTCAAGATTTGTTTAAACTCTTGTCTAGGTTTATGTTTATTTCAGTGTTTACAACCTATTTATATTAGTTAAACTCTTGTCTATCTTTGGGTTTAAACTCTGGTCTTTCTTTAAGTTTGAAGTTTTTATTTTATTTTGTTTGATAATTTTAAATTAAAGTAAAATTATAATAATAAAAAAAACATAAAATAAAATATGATGAGAAAAATGTAGTGTCAGTATATAAAATCAATTGGTGAAATCTGTACTAGAAGGAAACAAAACACCTTTGAAGGAAGAGGACTGGGACATGCTTCTCCACTCAATGCTGGAGCAAATATATTGGACTTAAATAATATTATTTATTTATATATATGTAGACTTACAAATAAATAATTTAATTAAAAATTATAAAATATAGCATGACCATAATTTGTGTATTACATTAGATCAATGCTAGTTTGATTATAAATAAATAAATATAATGTCAATTTTGATATCCTTATAATAGTATTTTAAAAATATAAGATTATAGAGTTTCTTGTAAGCACCATATAAGAGAAAAAAAAAAGGACAAACACTTCTTTTAACCATACGTGGTGTTGTTTGGTTCATTTTATTTGAGTTATTTATAATTTGTGTACTTCAAAAGTTGTGTCAAATTGTTTAGTGTATGTTGACTTTACAATTTATTAAGTAAAAATAGTTTAAATAAATCACAAAAATTAATTATTTAATAGTTGGATGAGTGGTAATTTTAACTTTTACTTTCGTATTTTTACTTGTAATTTATAACAAGTGCACCAAATAAATTGTGGTCGAATATTTGTAAATTTTATTTAATTTGTCTGTTTTCATTTATATGAGAGGGAAGCTGTGGATCTACTTGATTAGGGGCAGCTCTTGTATTTCGGTAATGGGTTCGTATCAAAGTACTTTTTCTAAATTGTCATGTATGATTTCACTATATGGATGTTTATGTAGTGATCTATGATTAGGGGGGAATTCTATTTTCACACACCAAGTTTCCTTACTCCGCACACTTAATAAATTTTTTCAGAATCACAATTTTATCCTTTAACAAAATTACTATCTCACCCACCACCACCTCACCCACACATTTCACAATTTCTTCATACACATCTCACTCACTACCATCTCACCTGCCACTTCACCGCCGGCCGTCGCCTCCCGTTCCTAAACCTCATCCTTGGAGTTGTGACCATGCATCTAAATATTTGAACTCATCCTTTGTATATGTGTTGCTGAATTCTATTTTCACACCAAGTTTCCTTACTCCGCACACTTAATAAATTTTTTCAGAATCACAATTTTATCCTTTAACAAAATTACTATCTCACCCACACATTTCAAAATTTCTTCATACACATCTCACTCACTACCATCTCACCTGCCACTTCACCGCCGGCCGTCACCTCCCGTTCCTAAACCTCATCCTTGGAGTTGTGACCATGCATCTAAATATTTGAACTCATCCTTTGTATATGTGTTGCTAAGTATTTAAATTCTCAATGTTTATGAATTGTAAATGAACATTTCCATATTTTTCTAGAATGATCATGAACTATATACCAATGCAATTTATCTAATTCTGCATTCTAGATGAACTATATAAACACTTCACATCCAAAATTTATTGGTGAAAGTAAAGTTTGTCGAAGAAGCATTTCACCAGATCAAGTCCAGTAGGGTAGCTTCACCCATTCCTAGGCCAAAGGTATGTGTATAAGGTGTTGTTGATAACTGTAAGTTTTGTAAATGTTGCACTTGCATCGGCATCTGCTGTTTGAATTGTTTCATCTTCTTCCTACTACAAATCAAAATTGGGTGCTTTTTGTCTCTTAGGATGTGGATTTGGAAAAGGCACCAACATCTGAATGTGCATATGTTCTATTGGCTGAGAGGCTGGAAAGGGGCGGTGGTTGATGTCATCATTGCCGCCGTCGCCAGTAGCTGGTGTAGTTAGGGTGAATGTTTTTGGAGTGAGAAATGATGGAAGGAGAGGATGTGCACAGAGAAGGTAAGGGTATATTTAGAATGTGAAGTGTGTGGACTGAGATAAAGTAAAAATCAAATTACTAAATATGTGGATTGAGAAAAGATGTATACAAAGATAATTTGGTGTGGAAATAGAATTTCTCATGATTATACCGTGATTTTTCAAGAAATAATTTTTTCCCAATTTGTTTGTGTCTGAAAAGTTGAAACCCCAAAATCATTTTTTAATCTTAGCTGGCAAATGTTGATCAAAATATATCCTCTCTCTTTTTTTTTTTTTTTTTTTTCAGGGTTGATATTGTGCACCCGTCCATCTCCACCCCTCCATAAAATCTTTTTTCTTCACTTGACATTATTAAAATAAAATACGAGGCTAAAAAGTAGAAAAATCCAAACATTAATCAATTGTTTCAGTAATGAAATCTACCTTTGTAATGCCAATATTAAACAATAAAAACTTAAATAGATTAGTTCCTAGATTTATTCAGTATTAGGTAGTTGAAAATTCGATGAAAGCACTCCAACAACTTCTATAACTCGAACCAAGCCCCATAACTAGCATACTACAACATCCTAGTACCCATTTACGGACAAAAATTCAATCAAATAATCGGCACTCAAATGGTATAGAATTGTGAAACAAGAAGTTAAACAACTGTATTTTTACATTACAATATCCATATCTGGTAAATCATATGAATAAGTTGAATAATTTATTCTACACTTGATAATCCAACAGTTTGGATAAAATAATGAACAAACGTGAACCCAATTGAGATTTCGATTTTGCTATTGAGAGAGGCGTTGTAGGGTTGTGCATAGGTTGAGAGTGCATTGAGTGCTAGTTTCCAACCCAAAACTGCAACTTTCAGTTTTAGACGCAGAATATAAACCATCTTAGTCAAAGGAATTGCCAATAACAGTCATCTTCTTGTGTGTCGCCCTCTGCATTATTATCGTGCACAATGTCAGAAGGCTCGTCCTGTTGATTTCGACTAGTATCACTCAACATGTCATACTGATTGTAGGAATGGCAATGGGGGGCAATGGGGTGGATATTAATTCCCCATCCCCATTCCCCTATAATAAATTTTCCCCATTCCCCATTCCCCATGGGTACCACCCTCCCCATTTTTTAATGGGTATGGATTTTCCCCCTCCATGGATACCCACAGGGTAGGTTATCCATTGCCATCCCTAACTGATTGGCTGCCCTTGGCGAATGGAGTACCCTTTGATGATTCATCAGCTAGCTTTGAAGCACGGTTACAAAAATCATCAAAATCATCTGCCAAACCCCCCCTCCCCCCAAAAAAAAAAAAAAGAAAAAGAATGTCATGGTCAAAAAAAGCTTCAATCCTTGAGCAATAATAAAATGAATGTATGGAATTTAATCAAGAATAGTCAGCTAGCGTGCATACCTTTGTCCCTGCAGTAGAACCCAATTGCCAAGGATGAATGAATTGACGGAGTCAAGGGGTACGTGCTGTTCAACGCTGGAATCATTATCAAAACAAAAAGCAACATAAATAAATGGAGGATGATAATAAAGCAATCACTGTCTCAAAACTTACTTGCAAGTGGCAATGATAAGATGAAGTACCGGCCTCTAAATTATCCCTCCTGATATCAACTAGCTGATTATGCGACTAGCTAAGGAGAAAATGGGGTATACATTACGAATACTCACACATCATAAAGCAAGAAGGCAACAACATAGTTAATGCCATTTTTTTTTATTAGCAACAACATATTTCATCATTCCAGGTAATTAAAGATCATTATTGGACAATAATCAAAAAAAAAAAAACTACGGAAAGCAAATCAAAATAGGGGAAAACAATGACGTTCATTTTGTTAGGACTGCCATTAAAAACCACCTAGGCATTTAGCATTTATACTTTTCTTTTTAGTATACATTTTTAAGGCTAAGTATATTATAGGCTTGATATAAAACAGGTAGTTTCAAAACAAACCCAGTACAACCTTCTATACAAGGGCATGAACATATTTTCTAACAGTGGCACTTTAAAGGTTGCCTACGATTTATAGTGAAAAAGGACTTTGTCAAATCAATATTCTTAAAACAACTCGTACTGTGAGCTTTGATTTAAACTACGGTTTTGTATCATTTCACCTAGGGGTATAAATTTGGCCTGGCCTGGCCTGGCCCGGCTTACCCGGGTCCGAGGTTGGAGCAGCCCATGTCAGGCCGTGCATGGTTCTGTCAAAATTTGGGTTGGGCCACAGGCCAAAAAAATAGGCCTTGGGCAAACCGGTGGGTCGGGTCTAGGCCCGAGCTCGGGCTTGGACGGATTTTTTTTTTCTTATTTTTTCTACGTAAATTTTATTGTTTTCCACTAAAAATGAAACTGGGCCTCGAACAGGTTGGGCTTGGCATCGGGTCAGACTTTGAGTAGGCCTTGAGCGGGACAACGGGCCGGGCTCGGCTTCAAAATGATAGCCTAGGCCCAAGCCTAGGGTCCCAAGCTAGGCTAGAGCTCGGGCCTAACTTGGTTTGGCTCGCGAGCAAGCTTCAGGCCTCCCACAGGTCACGAGCTATTTTTACTCCCGTTTCACCTATGAAATTATGACTTTTTTTTAATTACTTATTACAAATAAATCTTGTAGGATGTTCGCGAAAAAGAAAAGAAAAGAAAAGGTGAAGTGTGTAGACCATATTCAAGTTGACAACAAGTAGATTGCCAGCCTAGATATGCACAAATTTATTACTACATAAACGAGTCAATGTGGAAAAGCAATATTGCACCGGTTGAACTTCATGTGGATCAAGGTAGAAAGCCTCTTCATCCTGCACGCCTACAATGAGTTGAAGCACTAGGTCTACCACCAAGGATACCAAGGCTCTGGGGAAACGTGAATGTCGAGTTCAATAAAGGAATATACCTAGCAAAATTTTAAAAGCAAAATAATTCTGATTAACATACAAGACAACATTAAACCAAATAAGGCAAGGAAGGAATAAGACACATAAGGTATTAACTTCAGCTTTTTTAGTTTTTCAGTGATTATATTAGTGTGCACAGCCCACATAGAACAATTGCCTTGAAACAAAATTATGACACTGAATCATATAGA